CCCGGGTGAGGCAGATCAGTCGCCGGCTTCTGGATGGCCGCTCACGGCGGCTGCTGGCCGCTCACGCTGGCTGCCGGCTACACATGGTAGCTTATGGCAGCCCACTACAGCAGGGACTGCAGCCTACACTGTCGCCGGCAACCCACGGCAGCCCAGCTCCAGGTTGAGCTGTTGTTTAGCATCTTAGCTGTAGAGGGCAGTGTCACTGGCCCTCATATGTGGGATCCAAACCAGGGCACTCTGGCATCCCAAGCCAGCTCTTAACCAACGCGCCACTTGGCCGGCCCAAAAACACAGTTTTGCTGATGTCCTTTCTTGCATTCTTCCAACAATCATAAGGCAGATCTCTAGGCTAGAGAGCGGGAACCACAGCCCTGGACCTGCCCAGTGACAAACTGACCCTAATCCTGCAGCAGTCCCTGTACTGTGTGACCCTGGGTAAGCCATTGTGTCCCCTGAGCTGCAGCGCCCTCATCTGCAAAATGGGGGTTACTGAGACCACCTTCTGGGCTCAAGGAGAGGAAGGGGGAAGCTCCGGCCAGTGTTCCGTCACAGGAGGTTCTTCCTTGGCCCTTGTCGGAGGTGAGGCTCCACCACAGTGAGGACGCCTATGCTCTGAGTTGCTTGTCTGACCAACAGTGACCCTACATCCCACAGCTTCACCCCACTGAAACTCTCAGTCTGGGCCCTCAAATTGAGACCTGCCAGGTCCACGATGTGAAAAAGAAAAAGAAAAAAACACTATACATATCTGATGCAAAGGCCTCAGGCTCAAAGGCAGGCCCTGCCCACCTGGTGCCGAGCCCTGGGGCCTTTTCGAGCCATTCCATGCATCCCATCTCCTGCTTTCCCGCAAGAATCCAGAAAATGAGTGGCATTACCCCCATCTACAGGTGAGGAAACTGAGGCCCAGGGAGGCGAGGTGGCACAGCCAAGGTGAGTGATGCAGCCTTTGCTAGCCCAGGCCCTCTTTTCCACTAGGGGTGGAAAATGGCCCTCTCCATGGCAAGTGGCCATCAGTAGAGTCTGACCATCCACTCCTAGAAACCTCAGAGTAGTTCCCTTCCATGGGGGCTGGGCGGGGGCTATTTGCAAGGCCTGCTGTATGCCAAGCCTCCACTGTAATCCTCAAGCAGGCTGAAAAAAGGGAAGCCGTCCAGAGGAGCAGCACTCACCCGGGGTCACAAAAACGTTGTCTGCCCACTGTCCCCGAGCCCAGTGTCCCCTCTGTTATGTGGTGGCCTCACGTGGGAAAGTACAGAACGTTGCCATAGGCCCATCACCTGGAAGTCCAATTCGATCCCAAGGAAGAGAGAACAGCAGTTTTAAGAGACTCCAGCAGGAGAACCGGGAAGCAGGGGTCAGAGGCACGACAAGAAGGCCAAGGGCACCAGGGAAAGTTGTCTGGCTCTCAGCTCCTGGGAGGGTCCAGGCTTGGAAGAAGAGAATCATTGAGGTCCAGCAGCAGGTACCACTGGAAAATTCCACCTCTTTGTTGAACCAGCTGTTCCCTGCAGGCTAGTTAACAACCACATTATTGCCTGGGGCTCTCAAAGCCACTTTCTTTTTCTTTTGGGAATTTTAGGCTTTTCCAGTCATTTAAAACTGTTTAACTGGACCAGCCTTTGGCAGTAATGCTACCATCATGCTGATAACTGACAGCAGGCCAGCTCTGAGTTCAAATCCTAGCTGTGCTACTTAATGGCTATGTGCCCAAGAGCTAGCTACTAACCACTGGGCCTCGGTTTTCTCATACGCGGAATGGAATAATGACAGGTGCTCCCTCCTAGATGGTTGAGAGGACTCAGGGAGAGCCTTTATGTAAAGCATGACCACAGTGAGCGCACAGCACATGCTCAGTTAAAGCCTCTGCTTGCTGTTGCCCAGCGTTTGGCGTGCATTATTGCTTCCGAGTCCTGCAGCCAGCCTGAATGGAGCCAGCCCTGCATTACAGAGGGGATCAGCTGGATTTCAGACCATGTGATGACAGGAGGCGGGGAACTAGGGTGTCCCTCTAACACAGCGGTTCTCAACCTGTGGGTCGCGACCCCTTTGGGGGTCGAACGACCCTTTCACAGGGGTCGCCTAACACCATCGGAAAACAAAAAGATATTTACATTACGGTTCATAACAGTAGCAAAATTACAGTTATGGAGTAGCAACGAAAATAATTTTATGGTTGGGGATCACCACAACATGAGGAACTGTATTAAGGGGTCGCGGCCTTAGGAAGGTTGAGAACCGCTGCTAACACCATGAATGACACCAATAAACCCCCCCAAACTGGGAAACACGGTGAACCTTACTAAACAGAAACCCAGTATACAGAAATGCATTCTCTTGGACTTCAGGGGAGCGATTCAAGATGCAGAGCCCAGTGCTTCACTTTATAGGACTTAACCCCTGCCCCTGCTGCAGACTCTGTGAGGGAAGGCTGCTCTGTCTCTGTTGTGTGTGTTGTCAATGTACACACCCCCACCCCCCACCTTAGTTACTGCAGCATTTAGGACACTTAGAAACAGCCCAACACAAAAAAAGGCCTTTAGGCTCTGGAATGGAAAAGACCTGGCTTCAAATCCAGGTTCTGCTGTGTGACCATGGGTAATTGACTTAGCCTCTCTAAGCCTCAGTTTGGACAGCTGTAAAGTGGGATGAACCCAGGGACTTTGTGAGTTCTGGACCTAATAAGGGCCTGGCACATGGCCTGGCACATGGTAGGTACAGGATAAACATTGGTCCTCTTCCCCTTTTCGTGAGCTGCTTTCCTCAGACTGGCTTCTGGAAACCAAGGCACGGTGGTTAAGCAGGGTTTGAACCCTGTTCCCTTGACTGCCAGCCCTGCCTGCTGCCCTTGGTGATTCAATACCAAGGAGCCCTCTGGGCCCTTGAGGGCACTTAGTCTGCTAACAAAAGCCCATTAGCTTTTATCTTCTCCTGAGAACTGTCTGATGACTACATGGTGCCTTGGGATGGCCAGAAAATGGGGATGCGGATTGCTGGGTTAGGTCTTCAGCCACCGGGAGCCACTGGACCCTGGAAACCATGCCTGATGCCCCTCATACAATTACGGGGAAGAGTCTAGGAATGGGAAGAAAGAGGGGAGTGGGCAGATCTCTTCTGTGGTCCCCTTGGACTGGAGCAGGGACAGGATCTAGGGATGTGACCACATGGCCTGGGGAACCTGCAGCTGCTTGCCCTGGATCTGGGGGGTTTTCTAGGGTGTGGCTTCTCACTGTCTGTGACCCTGGGGAATCTGCATGGCCTCTCTGGGGTTGTTCATCAGTAAAATGGGGAAACTACCTCTTAGGTGGTTACCAGGGCCTGGCACTGAGTAAGGGCCCTCAAAACTGGTCAAGCCACAGACATTTTTTAGGCACCTACTATGTGTCTGTCGCTTTGCGGGCACTCTGGCGCTAGGGGCGCTGTCATGGGCAGGGAGTAGGGAGCACTGAGTGTGCCCATCCCAGCCCTGACCTTTGACAAGTGTCTGGAGGTCTCTGAGCCGAGACAGCAAACAGGGAAGAGCTGTGGGTGCTGCAAAGCCCTCTACAGCCTGTTAGTTCATCTCCAGCATCATTTTATGCATAACTAATGACGCCTGTGTCTGACTTGGCAGGGGGTGGTCCTGGCAACATGGAATGTCCAGAGCTCAGAGCTCAGGCCGGGGCCTGGGTGTTGGGGAGCAGTGAGTGTAGTCACAAAGTGAAGGAACTTCACTCTGGGGTGGAGGGAGTGCAGCTGCCCTCACTGACCCAGAGTGTGGTCTGAGCTAGCGTCTCAGCTAGAGGCTGGCGGGGGCAGTGGAAAGAGCCAGAAAACTTGGATTTCAAATCTGGCCATACTGCCTCCCGCTGTGTGACCTTAGGCAAGTTCTCCCCCTCCCCATGGGCCTTGGTTTCCACCTCTCAAAGGCAGAGGTGATTGCAGCCTTCTCTTCGGAGGGCTGTGGGGAGGCGCCCCCTGGCACACACTGGGAACTCGATGCATGCTGCCACAACACCCCTTCCACCTTCTGCCCTCTGAGTCCTAACCTTGTACTAAATTGGGTCACATGAGGCCACTTACCGGACTGGCACTGTCTCAATTCTGCCCCTTTCTGAGGAAATGCAGCTGAGGGATAGGAACACGGGCTCAGAAGCCAGAGCGTCTCGTTGTGAGTCATGGTTCTGCACTTCCTAGAGCGTGACTGAGCAAGTCAGTTCCTATCTCAGGGCCTCAGTTTCCTGGATAATAATAGCACCTACTCACCGGATTGTTTTGAGGATCAAATGAGCTTCTACTGTAAAAGCTCCCAACTAGTGGTGGATATAAAAATAGTAAGAACAATTACCGTTATTATTATGCTTTCGTGTTGCACTCTGAGCTCTGTTCAAGGCTTTTTCAAGTAGCCATGTATGATCTTCTTCTACATTTTCTATAAAACTTCTGCAAAGAATGCTGCCCATTATGTCACATAATGTCTTATGTGAAAGTTCATCTCAGAATTCATTGTTGGGGGCGTGCTATGTTCCTAAAGAACTGTTTTCCCTCCTGTTGATAACTTGAGCTGTGCATATCATCCTAATTCCCTTTTTGCCTTGGCTGCCAGGAAGCTGAAAGTCAAATTTATATCTCAATCATGGTAGCAAATATAGTTGGTTTATTTACTTCCATTCCTTTTCTATTTGACCTCATCTTGTGAGTTGTGTCCTTTGTATATCTTTAAACTCTCTTTGGAAAGAAGTCATGCAGAAAAAAAAAATCAACTTGGTAATGTTATGCACAAAATTGAGGCAGTTGGCCTAATAGACTTGGTTATCTGGTTTCTTGGGCAACTGTGGCTTGGGAGGGGGTGGAAAAAACAGATGTTCAGGGAACCTCAGAGACCAGCTATTCATTTGGGGAAATGAGGCCCATAATGGTTATTTCTTACCTGCTATTCCCTTTTTATTTGCTTGCCTGAAGCAGCGAACCTAGTTCGATTACCTATTTATGTAGCACATTCATTAGGAAATGCCGAGTCATAATTAATAACAAAGACAAGTGTTTATAATGTCTTACTAATGAAAAATCAGGTTATAAAAATCTAACAACAAAACAATATATCTTATGTGATCCCATATATTGTGTGCATATCTATCTATCTATCTATCTATCTATCTATCTATCTATCTATCTATCTATCTATCTATCATGTGATGAAGGTTTAAAAGACTGCCATCATATGGAGAGCAGTCATTGAGTTGGTAATCCCTAGCCTGTGGCAGGTGCTCAGTTTCTGGGCTAAAAAGTTGGGTGGAGGTCCAGGTTTTCCATTAGAAGTTCTATGTCCTGAATTTGAGAAGAGCGGGTTTGTTCCAGGACCCTCCCAGGGTGAGTGGGGTGGTACCTCCTGCACCCATGGTACAGTGGACCCATTCAGACCTGGATGCCCTCGCAAGACCAAGATTCCTCACGTGGGAACACGATTCAGCAGCAGCCCCAACAGTGTGTGCATCACACTGAACCAACCCCGGAATGGGGACACGTAAGGGGAGGAGGGGCACAGAGGATGAGTCTTTCTCACACAATGCACAAAAGATGAGATCTAAGACGAAGATGCAGAGAAGGAAGCCCGGGGCGGCCACGCCCATGGCGGCAGCAGGTCCAGCACCCACCAGGCGCCTGCCATGTGCCAGGCTGTCAGACACTGACCACATATCCCGTCATCACCTCTTTATAATAACCCTTCCAGGTGGGATCACTTACCCTGGAAGGGTTATTATGAGGAGGAAACGTGCAGGTGAGGAAATTGAGGATCAGAGAAGGAAAGTGATTTGCTTAAGGTAACACAGCTGGGAAGTGATGGGGACAAGTTTCTAACCCAGGGGAGCTTGAGTTTCTGAGCTTCACTTCAGAAACTGTGTCTTCAACCATTTTATTCTCCTTCCACACTCAGGGGAGAGGGCTGGGGAGAGGGAGAATGGTTTTGTTGAGGCAAAACATCCCATCCTGACCTTCTAGGAGAGAGGTTGGCAAACTTTCTCTGAAAGGCCAGATAGTAAATATTTTAGGCCTCGTGGGCCATGCAGTCTTTGTCGCAGTTACTCAACTCTGCCACTGTAGTGGGAAAGCAGCCACAGACAATATGGAAGAGAAATGGGAGTGTCCCAATAAAACTTTTACACAAGGAAATAAATTTCATATAAAAGTTGCACGTCACAAAAAGTATTATTTTGACTTTTTTCAACCATTAAAAAATGTAAAAACAAATCTTAGCTCACGGACCATACAAAAACAGGACAGTGAGCCCGGCTCGGGCTGTGGGCCATAGTTTGCCATCCTTGCTCTAGACTAGAATATTTGGTGCAAAGAGATCTGATGGCATCATGAGTTTTTGTCATAGTTGCAAACCTCAAAGAACAAGTGACTTAGGGGTTCTAAAAAGAAGCCCAGCTTTGGAGCTGAAGGTGGGTCCCTCAGAGGCTGGAGTACCCAGAGGGCAGGGGACCTGGGAAGGACACCTGTGAATGGGGCTGTCAAGCACCGTCAAATCAAAAAGGGTGAATGCAGCTCACTGGGTGAGCAATTTGGGGGCTTTTTCCTCAGATGTGAGAGTGGGGAGCCCTCAGAAAGCAGCCTGGACAGATGTCCGAGGCCACCCTCACTTGGACTCTGTCTCAGAACCAGACTCTCTCAGGGAGGGGCCTGGGCAGCACTGTTTTTAACAAGCTCCGCTGCAAAAACCTAAGGACTCTTTATTAGCTGGCTGACCTTGAGCAAGTTAATGCACTTCTCTGTGCCTTGGTTCCCTCGTCTTTAAAATGGGCATACTCATGGCCCCTACCTCATGGGGTTGTTAGGAGAACATCTCAGCCCAGAGCTTGGCATACTGTAAGTGCTCAATAAACGTTCACTATAATTATGACTATTGTCGGGCCAACCCTTGCGTTTCATTGGGGGCGGGGCTGAGCCTGGGGTCTGGCTCGGCTGCTCACTGGCCGTGGGTGAGGCCCTGTGCCTTGGGCCTTGGTTTCCTCACCTGAAAGGAGAAGTGGCCATGAGCCCTCAGCTGCGGCGCCCTGCACTGTGGCTGGGCGTGCACGTTGCAGGGAGGGGAGTGGGGGTCTGAGGCGCCCCGTCTTACCTTCGCTGCTCTCGCCAGGCGGGTGGTAGAAGGACAGCCCCAAGGAGATGATGGCCGCGATTTCCAGGATGATCAGCGTCACATCTTGCAGCGCCTCCCACACAAGTTGCAGGAAGGTTTTTGGCTTCTTTGGAGGTATGAAGTTTTGCCCAAAAATCTGCTTTCTCTTTTCCAGGTCTGAAGCGGTGCCCGGCAAACCTGTGGACAGAGTGCAGAGAGGTTGGTCTGGGGGGCCCAGGAGAGACACACGCGTTGCTGGAATTGTCCCAAGTGGGGCTGGTCACATGGCAAAGGGCAGAGAGAGGGAAGAAACAGAGCAGAAAACTTGCAGGCTCCAGCCAGGAGCCCAGCACACAGTGCTCGATTTGGGCCCAGAATGGGCACCTGGGAAAAGCCAGAGATACCTTGCAGTGGGGTGAATAGTGGCCTCCTCCAAAACATATGTCCAAGTCCTAACCCCCAGAATCTGTAAAGGTGACCCTATTTGGAGTCTTTGCAGATGTAATTAAGGATCTTGAGATGAGATCACTCTGATTATCTGGATAAGCCCTAAACCCAATGACAAGTGTCTTTGTAAGAGACAAAGGGGAGAAGACAGACACAGAGGGAAAAAGGCCACGTGGGGACAGAGGTAGAGATTGGAGTGCTGCAACCACCAGCCAAGGAAGGCCCAGAGACAACAGAAGCTGGGAGAGGCAGGGAATGCAATGTTCCTTAGAACCTTTGGAGGGAGCACCTTGATTTTGGGCTTCTGGACTGCAGAGCTGTGAGGGAATAAATTTCTTATGTTCAAAGCTACCCACCCGGTTTGTGCTAATTGGTTACAGCAGCTACAGGAAGCGAATACACACCACCATGCCCACCTGGCACCTGCACCCCTGCTCCTGCTTTGTACTCGCCTACCCTGTTGAGTACAGGCTCCGAGGCCTCTGCCTGGGTTAGAATCCCAGCCTATGCTCCGAGCGCTCTGAGCCTCAGGGTCTTCCTCTTCAATGGGGATGGTGGTCATACCTAACCCCTGGGTGCTTGTGAGCATCTCATGAGATAATGCATGCAGTCAATGAGTGTTTGTTGAGCACCTACTACGTGCCTAGCACTTCTGGAGGCTGGGATAGAGCAGTGCACACAACAGACAGAGCGCCTGATGCAAGGCGCTGGCCTCCCAGTGGACACCTGTGACCAGTGCCTGGGGGATGGTGGATGCTCAACTGATGTTAGTGGTTAGGGCCCATCTTCCTCCAGGTGCATCTGCACTTTAGAAGAGGAGCCTGAAAGTAAACCTCTCATAGTAAAAATTCAGCTGTGTGGCAGATAGGGGCCAACTCCAGTGGGAGGAGCCAGCTTCACTGTCTACTGGGCCCCTTCAGAGGCCAGTGCTCTCCTCTGCTTCTCTCCTTCCTTTGATGCTGCCCTGTGTCACCCCAAGCTATTGGCATGTCACTTAATTTTCCCCTAACAAGTGCGCTGGCATGCTGCCTGCCTTGCTCATGCTCAGTGACCCAGCGGAGCCTTTCCCTCCATCTATACTGGTGAGCCCATTCTCAGGGCCGCTCTGCTGAGAAGGCTTCACTTCCACCCCAGGCAGACCAAGGCTCCCTGCCCTCGTCTCTAGCATGGCCTTGACCACCGCAGGGCTTACCTGTTCCCTGACCACATCCCAGCTGGGCCTCAGTGTCCTGGGGGTAGACCAGTCTGAGTCCCGTCCCTCACTGTCTAGCACTCAAGGCGACCAACCACCTTAGCATCCTCCCACCCACTGAATACAGGTGACATGCCTGAGTGTTATAAGCCTGACCTGGGGTGTCATCACGGAGAACGCAGCATGAATGGGCCCTGGCAGCTGGGCAATGTCTGTCCTGTCCTGGAGGCCAGCCCAACCCCAGCTCACCTGTGGCTTCATGAGGACAGCTGGGGGGTGGACAGGGAGGGGAGGGAAAGGGGACACCCTTCACTGGACCTCTGGTCTCAGACTGCTTCCAAGAAGGAGGAATACGGAGGGGTCCCCAGAAGAGCACCACTACTAGGATGCCAGGGTTGGAGTGATAGAACATTTTGCTGTTAGTTATGGGAGTTGAGTGGTCTAATGTCAGATGGTTCTGGGATTCTAATAGTCTGTCATTGGTTGGCTCATTTCTCCAGTCATTCATTCAACCCACGTTTCTCGGGTCTCCACTATTGGCCTAGCCCAGTGCTGGGTGCTGGGGAGAGTGTTGTGAATAGACGTAAGAGCTCAGTGGTCTTGGGAGTGCAGCAGTCTATGGCTCAGGGATACAGGGAGATGGGCATGTCCCCTGCCTGGAGTTCTAGGTGCTGAGCCTCTTCTGATGCTGACAGCAAGACCTCCATCAGGAGGCTCCAAGAGTCAGACCGGGTAAGACCTTGCGGGAGAGCCAGGGGCGGGGTCTAGCTTCTACCTGGGGAGACCCCACACCCACCTTGCCTATCAGTGTGGATAAGCTCCAGAGATCCAATTTCCTGCCTGTGCACTGAGGATGAGGGAGCCCAGAGTGAGGTTATGTCCATTTTATAGAGGGGAGACTGAGGCCTTCATGAGACCAAGCTGCTGCCTTGGGGCAGCTCCTTGGTCCTGAGAACCCAAGCCAGCCCTGTTCTGAGCACCTGGAGATGTTGCCCCACCTTCCCATGCTGGGATGGCTAGCTAGGATGTCCATATACAGAGCAAGCAGCCACAACAGTGTGATTCTAGGAACAGTAGGAAGGTTCCTTGTCTACTCTCCTGTGTCCAATTCTACCCACAGCCAATGTCTCAAATTCTTCCACTTGGGCTTCCTCTTTCTTTTAACTAAAAGCTTTATTTCCTTTGATTCTGTGGGAGGGGGAAGCCATCATCAGTTCTGACACCATGGTGTGAATGAGTTTCAGGTTTTTTCCTGGGAGTAGGTTTTGATAAAGGGAACAATGGTAAACTCAAGAGGATGGTGGGCCTCTGAGGAAGGGGGCTATGGCCAGTCAATAACGGCTTATGGTAGCAGTTTGGCCATCTAGTTCCTTTCTCTGACACTCGGTTTCTCCATCCTGATAATAGGGAAGTTTGATAGGATGGGTAGGTCCTAAGGATACAGTGTTCCAAGGTCTGCAGGCCCTGGAGTGGTCCTGTGGAGGTCTGTTCACATTTTGGGGCTCTTCATAAGAGATCCACTAAGAGAAGCTTGGAGGGGCTAGGGCCAGCCCACCTCCAGGGCCCCTCCTGATTGATTCAGAGAGAGGTGGGTCTCTGAATCTTCTGGTGGTCTGTGATTCAAACATTTTGGAGTCTACAGTGTGACCCATTGAAAATGTGCATGTTCTCTAGTTCTGGGATTCTGGCCATGGCTCAGGGGTCCTGTCATGCTGGAGATTCAGAGACCCTGGGTCCTGGGAAAGAGCAGAGGGCAGGGGCTGCAAATTTGAAGAGCTGTGAAGGCCAGGCAGGTTTTGTGGATGAGTGAAGTGGGTGGAGGGGAGACAACAGAGTGGTGGGGGCGTGGGGCAAAGTGAAGAACCTCAGTCCTTCTAAAGGGAGCAGCTATTTCTCAGCTCCTGTGGGGGAGCTGTGGGCCCAGTGTGGCAGATCTTCCAATCTCCTAAGAGAACCTGGACACCTGGAATTCAATGCAAACTCTCCCCAGTAAAAATATTCCAGGGCCAAATACAACATATCTATAGCTAGATTCGGCCCCTGGGTTGCTGGTTTGAGACCCCGGAGGCTATGGGTTAGGAAGGGGGAAAGAGGCCGGAAGGATGAGATGACAGAGCAGAATAGCCTTTCTGTCACTTCCTCCTCTCTCCTGGGTTGCTCCCTTCCCAGCACCAGGCCCTGTCCCGCTCCCCACAGGCCTCTGAGAGGCCCTCTGTTTTACAGACAAACAGCTCATAGAATAAAAATATTTGTGTGTTCTGCTAGGGCTATTTCTATAACAATAAACACCCCAGTATATACATCCAAGATGGGAACCTTGAGTGTTGAGGCTCACATGGTGTGGCTGAGGTGGCAGATGGCGGCCATGATGTCTTGCTCACCCTCTTTCTCTCAGAGGTGGGCTGAGCTGGAGCCAGGGATACCAAGCCCCAAGAACTTGGGTGGGGTTTGGACTCAGATGTCATGGGTTCAAATCCTAGCTCTGAGTGACTTTGGTTAAGTGACTTCGCCTCTTGGTGCCTCAGTTTCCCCATCTGTAAAATGGACTACAGCAGGACCTCCTTCACAGGGGTGGGGTGAGGCTTCAGCAGGACATCGCGTGTAAGGTGCAGAGTGTTGTGCCTGGTCCCAGGTGAGGATACCATACTATTATTGTCCAGTTTTAGGCGGTGTGAGTAATTCATCACGACCTCCTGGAGGAAGAAGACTGGACAGGTGGGATTTCAACAAGGTGAGGACAGGCCCAGCAGAAGGGCCGTGTGACCACGGAGAAGCCACTTCTCCTCTCTGGGCCTTAGTGTGACATAAAGGATTGGCTTAGCTGGTGGCTCTGATGCCTCATACCCAAAGGCAGTGTTCTGAGGACCTATGGGTGATACAGCTCACCTGGCTCAGCCCACTGTCACCCCCTTCCCAGGAGCAGAATCATGTTATCTCCCTGCCTTCTGGCTGAAAATTAACATGCCTTTTTTGGGGAGCAGAAACAATTGAGGCTAGCGTGAGCGACAAATGGTGTTGGAGATTCAATTTAGATTAAAGAACATCTCACCAGTTAGCATATTAAAAATTAATACACTGTGTCCAATATTGCTGGACGAGGCCAGCCAGGCACTGAAAATTCAGACACACAAACACGTGGGAATTGATGTCAGGCGCTTTGTGGAGTTTGGTTCTTCAAACATGTTTCTTTTTGTACAAGAGGCAGAAAACAGAGCACTGGGCGAGGAGTCAGGTTTGTGGATGAATGTGGGCCAGCTGTGTCATCCTTCAGAGACTCAGTTTTGTCCTCAATAGAGTGGGAGCAAAGTAACCCCTAGGCTGTGGTGAGCCATACAGAGGGGAATGTGTGTGAACGCTTTCTAAGTTATAAGGGTGTGAGGAGTGTGCCTTCACAGTTAAAATTCTCCAACACTTGTCCCCGTTCCTCTACTGCAGTCAGAATTTGTGTGTTCTATTAATTATGTAAAAGGAGAAAGCCAAGTGCAGAGGGTGGGGGACTTTGGTTGTACAGGAATTATTTGTTAATGGCTGCTTGTTGTCATTGGACATTTGAGGAATC